TAGGGTTTAGGGCTACATATACGTAGTTAAACAAGTAAATAAACAAATACATACATACATTATATGTATATATATATATATAATTACATATATGTATAGGCCGGAAACCCTAAACTCTCTCTCTCTCTCTCTCTGTCTCTCTCTCTCTCTCTATGTATATATACATATATATATATATGCATACATACATACATATACCCTAGACCCTGAAGGGTATAGAGTTTAGGGTTTGGGGTATAGCCCTGGAACCTTAACTCTTATGAGCCCTATAGCCCCCTAATCCAACTCCACAATATCATTCACTCCTGTAAGCCTTAGAAGCCCTAGACTCCCTAAGCCCTATATGTCTGTATACATATACAGATATTTATATATACACATACATATACATATATATATATACACATACATACATGTGTGTGTATGTATATATATACATATGTGTGTGTATCGAAATTTCGTTTATTCATTACTTATTCATATATATATATATATATACATATAATTATACCAATATACCACAACACGTAAGTCTATGCATTGCGAGAAGGGGCCCTGAACCCCTTAACCAGTTGGCCTCCTCCGAAGCTTTGGGGCGATTCCCCAACACGGATTTCCCAAGGGTCCCAGGCATCGTCCTTAGGGTTTAGAGTTTATGGTTTAGGGTTTAGGGTTTAGGGAACTCTTCCAGCCTTGGGTTTTGGGGGCTCGGGGAACCCTAAGCGCTATAAACCGTAAAGCCCCCACACCAGCCCTAAAAACCCCATTAACCCTATAAAGCCTACAAGACCTAATTGTCCTGTAAACCCTATAAAAACCCTGTAAAACCCTGTAAGCACTCCAAACCCTATAAGCCAAAAAACCCTAAGCCCCTGCAAACCCTAAACCCGGAAAACCCTACAAACCCTAAAAAACCCTAGCAACCCTAAAAACCCTAAAGCCCCCAAACACTCTGAAAACCCTGACAACCCTATAAACAACTTCAACCCAGATGGCCTTGACATGGTAACCATATCATCATAAGGGGCACCCTTTTTTTGGATTGGTTTCTTTAACTCATAAGCTAGGCTGCCCAGTAACCAAGGCTTAAAAAGGGTGCCCTTTTGTGCTTAAAGGGGTTTTTAAGCGAACCTAAACCCCCCCCCAAAAAAGGGAATAAGGGTACTACTGGGCATCCTAGTAAGGGAACCCAGAATCAAAAAAAGGCTCCTAAACCCTGAGCCTAGATGGTCTTTGCAAGCTTCCTGGCCCCCGAGTTTGGGCTCATACCCTAAACCCTAAACCCTAAACCCTAAACCCTAAACCCTAAACCCTAAACCCTAAACCCTAAACCCGGTGTGTTTTTGAGGAGGCCGCGGGGCGAAAAGCGCGGCGCCTCTTTCAACCATGACGAGTCACAGCTCGAGTTCCCGTTTTGGTTCGGGAACTAGAGGTGAAGGGTTTAGGGTTTAGGGTTTAGGGTTTAGGGTTTAGGGTTTAGGGTTTAGGGTTTAGGGTTTAGGGTTTAGGGTTTAGAGTTTAGGGCGTTGACACGTTGAACCCCAAGCCCCTAAATAGACCTGATTCTAGGGACCATTTACAGCTTAGAAGTATATAAGTCCCGCCCTATTTAGTAGGAGCCCTTCTAAAACTGTACGTACATAGGGTCCCAGGTATCAGCCCCTAAACCTTAAACCCTAAACCCTAAATCCTAAACTTTAAACCCTAAACCCTAAACCCCCTAAACCCTCAAGTTTTTGTATTTCGCGGGGATTCGCGGCCTTAGCCGCGGCCTTCGGACCCCTTGGGGTGAGCAAAAGCAGAGAGCCGCAGGCATACAGGCCTCGGGGTCCAGGGTTCTTAAAGGGTCTTAGGGTTTTAGGGTTTAGAGTTTTAGGGTTTAGAGTTTTAGGGTTTTAGAGTTTTAGGGTTTGGGGTTCAGGGTTTAGGGGTTATAGGGTTTAAGGGTTTAGGGTTCAGGGTTTTACGGTTTAGGGTTTAGGGTTTATAGGGTCTAAGGGTTAAGGGTCCAGGGTTCTTAAAGGGTCCTAGGGCTTTAGGGTTTAGGGTTTAGAGTTTTAGGGTTTTTGGGGTTTAGGGGTTATAGGGTTTAGGGGTTATAGGGTTTAAGGGTTTAGGGCTCAGGGTTTTACGGTTGAGGGTTTAGGGTTTATAGGGTTTTAAAGGGTTAAGGGTCCAGGGTTCTTAGAGGGTTTCAGGGTTTAGGGTTTTAGGGGTTTAGGGTTTGTGAACTTAGGGTTTTAGGGCTGGCTTTAGGGGTTTGGGGGTTTTGGAGGTTTTGGGGGTCTTCGGGTTTTAGGGCTTTAGGGGGTTGCAGGGTTTTTAGGGTTTTTTGGGTTTTAGGGCTTTAGCGGTTTTCAGGGTTTTGGGGGTTGTTAGGGTTTCAGGGCTCCAAGTTCTAAGCCCGAAGCTTGGTAAACCCCAAACGAACCACGGCCTTCGGAAGTGGGGACCTGGGTCCAATCTGGGTTGACCACCCCCTAAGTTCTATAAGCCAAATGCAAGCCCCCCTAAACCTAAACCCTAAACCCTAGACCTGAAACCTGAAACCCTGAAACGAACCACGGCCTTAGGATGTAGGGGGAGTCTGGTGGTCGGTTCTGTAAACTAGGGCCCCTGTTTGGGGATAGCTCAAATAAGAGCGGCCCTACACCTAACCCTAAACCCCAAACCCTAAACCATTCTTAGAGAAATGACCAGCTGACCACCCTCAAGTACACCCCATAACATGGGCCTAAAGGATGGCTGATCGGGGCTTGACTGGCATCATGTAGGGTTTAGAGGTTAGGGCTTTAGGGCTTGGAGTTTCGGACGTTGGGGTTTAGGAAGTTTAGGGTTTTCAGGGTTTTACGGAGTTGGGTTATGGGGTGTTCGGGGTTTAGGGCTAAGGGTTTGGGGGCACTTGGAAGTTGTTGGGGGTTGAGGGTTTGCGGGCTAAAGGGCTTTAGGTTCAGGGTTTGGAGCACACAAAAGCATAGCGGCTTCTCAGGCAACAAAATGGGTGTAAGCGCAGCTAACCCTAAACCCTAAACCCTAAACCCTGAACCCTAAACCCTAAACCCTAAACCCTAAACCCTGAACCCTAAACCCTAAACCTGGTGGCTTGCACGGTAAGAGAGCCAGGGGCTTTCTTAGTTTCTACCGCTTTGGGGATGTTTAGGGGCGTGGATTTTGGGGTTACGGGTTGATGGGTGCGCTGTAATTAGATCCCAACCCACAGGGGCTTACGGTTAAGAAGCTACTTTGGCCCCGAGCACATACGTGAAGCCTCGGCTGATTACGTGGATCTTTCATGCAACAGCAGGGATACAGCCGCACAGATACCCCGAAGTCTCCAATAGGGAAACGACTTCATACCAGTTCTGCCAGTCCTGCCCCAGCCCTAGTCTCAGGGTCTCCCAGCAGGTATCCACCCCAAACCCGAAAGGTTTAGGGTTTAGGGTTTAGGGTTTAGGGCCTGAACCCTAAACCCTAAACCCTAAACCCTAAAACCTAAACCCTAAACCCTCAGCCCCACCCGAAATCAAAAGATGTCGAAGCTTTTGGAGCCAGCGGGTTTGCAGCCACGACAGGCGCCAGCGGCAATATGCATTTCCCACAACTCTTCAGGATTTGGGATTTTGGGTTCTGGATTATTCCAGGGGGTGGGGGGGGGGGGGGGGGTTTAGGGGTTCTTGGATAGGGGTTTGGGGTTTAGGGTTTGGGGTTTCGGCTTTAGGGTTTAGGGTTTAGGGTTTGGGGTTTAGGGTTTAGGGTTTAGGGCGGGGGGGGTGCGGTGGGGGTCGTGGCGCGGGTGGGGGGGCGGGGGGGGGGGGGGGGGGGGGGGGGGTCGAGTGCTAGACTTTCAGGTAGCCATAGATTCAGGACCGTGACAACACCCAACAGGCCTATTCCACTACAAGGGGTATTCTGGGTAGTGCATAATATGATAAAGGTCAAAAACCTTAGAATATTGGTGATTGCTCAGGCTCGTGCATGGAGAAACATCGCGCTTCGCCTGGTTTAAGGGTGTGTGTCAAAGCGCCTGAATTAACTAACTTCAAAACCACGCAACATGGCGGGCTTTGATAACCCCAAACCCTAAACCCTAAACCCAAAATGATCAAGGGAGGGGGCTACGTACCCTTCGCATCCTTGCCCCCCCTTGTTAGCGCAACCCCATCAGAAAGTGGCTTCACGCAGGTACACCTTGCTCGCCACCTTCAACCCCACACGCCACCTGCTAAGCCCTCCCCCTCCCCATGGTGACATGGGCTTTCGCCCTAAACGATTAAGAGGCCGTGGGCTTAACGCAAAAAAGATGTGGGGCCTCACTGTTAAGTTTCGGTTCTGGCTGCAGTTCTTAGGGTTGGGTGTTTAGGGCAACGGCGCACTACCCTCCCCTTAGAAGCCTGATGATAGTATTTCTCTTGATGACGGATGGTCGACTCTGCAGGGAGAACTTTATGGTTCTTAGCAGCCATGACAGAAATTTGAGTTTAGGAACATAGGGTGCCCCCAAGTAGGATCCCCTGATAGTAAGGCCCCAAAAATGTCGGAAACCCCCAAATTCAGGCTTGCCTTGGTTCAGAAAGCTTGCGGAACAATGCTGTGGTTCCCTGCGTGTTTGTCTTCTGCCTCTCTGACTTAGGTTGGCGCTTGCGGCGACGTAAAGCACCGACATTTAAGGTGAGCACAGCACGGGAAATGCGCGTGCGCTTGTCCTTCGGCTGTTATTCGCGACTGCAGCGACTGTACATGAAAGCTAGGCAGCCATTCGACTGGGTATGGCAAGGTGAGCTGCTCCAACCAGGGCCTAGAACCCTAAACTCCGAATTCTAGCTGCTGTCACCCGGCTCACAGGGCCTAAACCCTAAACTCCAAATCCTAGCTGCTGTAACCCGACTCCTGTCCAGCCCTTCACTCGAAGCTCACATTTTTCGGGGCCTAGTTCAAGGCAAGCCGGGCTCGGCACTTTTGGAATCTGCCGGGCAGGACTTGCCTTAAACTAACTTAAATCACTAAGTCTTGTCCTTCAGCTTCGCAAAGTTTATGTCCAGCAGCTGCTTCATGAGCAAGAGGAACCTGGGCAGGCCCCCTGAACTAGGTTGAACCTGGGAATCAAGGCCAATCTCTTTTCCTACGCCCGAACCCTAACGTAGGGGCCCTTAGCTAGACGAAGGCCTTGGGGGCTATAAGCGCATAAGCGCATAATCGTATAGGCAGCATGACGGAACACCATTAGTAGCTATTCCGGCCCCTATACTAAACCCGAAACCCTAATCCCCAAACACCGAGGAGCTTCGTCCAATACCCAGACCCGAGGTCTACAGGGCCCGGAAAACGCGGGGAGCCCTAAACCTTAAACCCTAAACCCTAAACCCTAAACCCCATGAAGGTTCACAGGCTCGGGGGCACCATGGGGATTTAGTAGTCTCTCGCCTCAAAGCTCCACATGCCTACCAGACCCGGCTACTGCACCCCAGCACGCCCGAAATTTGGGTTTTGGGATTAGGGTTTAAGGTTTAGGGTTTAGGGGTTCGTGTTTGCGGGAGGGTTCTTAAGGCCCCAAAGCCTCCAAACCCTAGACCCCAAGCCCTGAAACCTCTACACCCTGAAGCAAAACCTCGAAGCCCCAAACCTCCCTAAGCCCTAAAAACATCTAACCCCCAAGCCTTGGGATGTTCGACCTTACACTAACAGTCCTTAATGGGGATTCTAGTACCCCCTATTGTTGATACCAATTGCGGACTGTTGGTATGAAGGGAAAACATCCCCACCCTAAACCCTGAACCCTAAACTCCAAACCCCAAACCCTAAACCCTAAACCCTAACCCTAAACCCTAAACCCTAAACCCCAAACCCGGACACAACCCTAGCTAAGCCCTGAAATCCGAGAAGCTCAGCGAAGTCTGCCTCCTCAGACCTGCCCAGCCCGTTCTGCACCTTCTTCCTGCGAGCGGGATTAAGAGAGTCTTGGGCCTGATATTGGGTTTAGGGTTTAGGGTTTAGGGCTAGGGTTTAGGGTTTAGGGTTTAGGGTTTAGGGTTTGGGGTTTGGGGTTTGCGGTTTAGGGAAAGATTGTCGCTCCCCGAACCTTGAAACCCTCAGCCCTCATTTGATTCTCCGTTTTCCGGATTACACCATATACGATCCTTGGGGCCTGTCATAGTATATGTGTATATATATATGTATATATACTATATGCATATATATATATATATATATACATATATATATATATATATATATTATAGATCCAAAAACCAGCTGGGCTTGGGCATGGCTCATCCACGTTCTCTGGCCCTGCATATCTTGCCCCAAACCCATGAAAGCCGTAAAGCATCCCTAAACCCTAAACCCTAAACCCTAACCCCTAAACCTATGAATCCCTAGAGGCCCCAAGCCAAGGACCCCAAGCCAACCCTTACAGCCCTAAAGCATTAACCAAAAAGACCTAAAGCATAAACCCCAAAGGTCCCAAGCCAGCCCCTGAAGCCCTAAAGCATCGAACCCGACAGAACCCCTGAGCCCCTGAAGCCTCTAAAGCCTCTACTTGGAGGTTCATGGTACTTACTAGCCAGTTATAACTGTACTGTTGAATGTACTTTGAACCATATTAGGGCACTTAAGGGGCTTCTAAGTGGGTTATATGTACAGTTTTCCTAAACCCTAAACCCTAACCCTAAACCCTAAACCCTAAACCCTAAACCCTATTGCCCTATTGGTTAAAGTAGCACGCGCCTGGTCACGAAGGAGAAGATGCCCTGGAGCTGATGTACCAGGTTGTCGCCCAAGGGCGTGATCCTCATCTTTGGGGGCCGGGGGGTTGGGGTTTAGGGTTTAGGGTTTAGGGTTTAGGGTTTAGGGTTTAGGGTTTAGGGTTTAGGGTTTGGGGTTTGGGGTTTGGGGTTTAGGGTTTGGGGTTTGGGGCTTAGGGTTTTAGGGTTTAGGGGGGAGAGGGGAACTCACCTGTAGGCAAAGAGAGTCCCAGGTAGGGTTCGCAAACCCTAAAGTGCCCCTACCGCCCTGAAGTACCCTCTAAGGGGATATCCAAGCCCAAGGATCAAAGAAGTACGCCGTTGCTGATGTTTCAGGGATTAGGGTTAGGGTTTAGGGTTTAGGGTTTGGGGTTTAGGGTTTGGGGTTTAGGGTTTAGGGTTTAGGGTTTGGGGTTTAGGGTTTGGGGTTTAGGGTTTGGGGTGTAGGATTTGGCTTGGGTTTTGGGGTTCAGAGCTTCCAACCCCACGCCCTCGCTGCCGAATCAGGCCCAGTCGCGAGTGGATCATGGTGCGGACAGCTTCAAAACAAAGGACCTGACCCAGCGTCTTCTGGGCCCTATGCCCTAAACCCTAGCCCTAAACCCTAAACCCTAAACCCTAAACCCCAAACCCCAAACCCTAAACCCTAAACCTAAACCCTAAACTCCTAAATCCTAAACCCCTAAATCCTGGCTCTCCTCCGGAGTGAAGGACTTAGGGCGAGGAGTCGAGGATCAGGGCGTAGGACTTAGAGGGCGAAGCTCAGAATAGGCACTGCAGGGATTTAGGCATTCGGGCCTACTGCGGAGCCCGAACCTCATTTTGAACCCTAAACCCTAAAGCCCCAAAAACCCTAAACCCTAAATGGGTAGCACTGTTATGAGTTGATAACATCAATTCCCGGGTGGCGGGGGAACATCCCCAAACTCGAGGAGTTCATGGCTGGGGGGACAAAATATAAACCCTAACATGATGGATACTACCATAATTCCTATTGAGGCATGTGAGCGATAAACCCAATTATCTAGGGTTCATAATTGGTTCCTGACACTCTTACCGGCGCTTCTTGGCTTATGGCGATCTCAAGCCAAAGAGGTCTTGAAAGTGAAGGACTCAAATCCTGAACCTAGAGTCCTCCAAGCCCGAAAAGCCCTAACACACCTCACAAAGACCCAACAACTCCGAAGAACCGCGAAGAAGCTCCAACAAAAACCCTGACAATCCACGAAAAACCGCAACAAAAACCCTTAACAAAAAGAAGCGAACAAAACAAACAAAAAAAAAACAACTAACCCCCCTGAAAACCCTGAGCTGCATCCCGGGCGGCCCCAGAGCCCTCGTCGGCTTGCAGGAAGAGCTCGCGGAAGTCCTGGACCTCACCCTGGGTGAAGCCTGGGAACGAGGGTTTAGGGTTTAGGGTTTAGGGTTGAGGGTTGAGGGTTTAGGGTTTAGGGTTTAGGGATAGGGTTTAGGGTTTAGGGTTTAGGGTTTAGGGTTTAGGGTTTAGGGTTTAGGGTTTAGGGTTTAGGGTTTAGGGTTTAGGGTTTAGGGTTTAGGGTTTTTAGGGTTTAGGGTTTAGGGTTTAGGGTTTAGGGTTTAGGGTTTAGGGTTTAGGGTTTAGGGTTTAGGGTTTAGGGTTTAGGGTTTAGCGTTTAGGGCTGAGGGTTTAGGGTTTGGGGTTTAGGGTTTAGGGTTTAGGGTTGGTCAATTCTGCTATTGGGGATCTAGGGTTTGGGGCTTAGGGTTGGGGACTGGGGGTTTGGAGCTTAGGGTCAGCCCAGCTTACTTGTGTGAAGGCGTTTGGGACTCGGGAATTAAGGTTTCCCTGGGACCCTGTTTACCTACAGTTTTAATATTTAAGGGTTATACCTACGAAATTGAGTGGCAGTTACTGCTAAACTGTAGGCAAAAAAAGTCCCAAGTAGGGGTCGGTCATCAAGGTAAACCCTAAACCCTAAACCGGGAGAAAGAGATATGGAGAGATGGGGCTGAGGGCTTTCAGGAAATCGGAGGGTCCACTTGTCGCGCAATTGCGGAATCTTTGGCCTTAGGGACTTAGGGTTTAGGCAGAATCCAAATTAGCCAGGTACCCACTTCTGGCGGATTCAACCTGTAAACCCGAAAACCTCATCAACCTAAACTCCAAAACCCTCATGAACCCCTCTACCCATAAACCCTAAGCCTCGAAACCCTTAACATCCCAGACAAACCCCAGAAGCCCCATAAACCCTAAGCCGCCTAAGCCCCTAAACCCTTAACACCCAAGACCGTAACCCCCATAAACCCTGAACCCTGAACCCTAAACCCCAAACCCTAAACTACTAAACCAAAAAAACCCTAAACACTGAATTCGAAACCCGTAAGCACTGAACACCGCAACCCCTTTTCCCTGAACCTAATCCCAAAACCCTAAACCCATGAACCCCTAAATCCTGAACCCTGAAACCCTAAACCCCTAAACCCCTAGACCCATAAACCCCTAAGGGCTACGTAAACCCTAAAACCCTAAAACCCTAAAACCCTAAAACCCTAAAACCCTAAAACCCTAAAATCCTAAAACCCAAAAACCCAAAAACCCAAAAACCCAAAAACCCAAAAACCCTGAAACCCTAAAACCCTAAAACCCTAAAACCCTGAACCCTAAACCCCTAAACCCATAAAACCATAAACCCATAAAACCCTAAACCCCAAACCCTGAAACCCTAAAATCCTGAACCCTAAGCTCTAAACCCATAAACCCATAAACCCATAGACCCCTAAACCCCTAAACCCCAAACCCTAAAACCCTGAACCCTAAACTCTAAACCCATACACTCATAAACCCATAAACCCCTCAACCCCTACACCCCTAAACCCTAAACCGTAAAACCCTGAACCCAAAACCCTTAAACCCTATCAACCCTAAACCCTTGACCCAGATTTTCTGGCGGCCTGAAGTACGGATGGCCGCCAGCTCCTTCTGCGCGCGCTCCTTGTCCTTCCCCCGCCAAAAAGAGAGCCCTAAACCCTAAACCATAAACCCTAAACCCTAAACCCTAGACTGCCCTAGCTCCTAAACCCGAAGCCCTAAGCTGCCCGTAGAGGGTTCGGGGTGTAGAATTTTAGGGTTTCGGGTTCTAAGGGCCCTAAACTCTAAACCCTAAAGCCCAAGCTGTCCCAAACCCATATTTAGGGTTTAGGGAAAAAAAAGGGTTTAGGGTTTAGGGTTTAGGGTTTAGGGTTAGCCCCAGGGTGGGGGAAGTAGACTCGAGTACTTGAGGCCAAGGTTAGAATCTTCAGGCTCCGCACGAAGTGCGTGGGGGGGGGGGGGGGGGGGGTTGAACAGCTTAGCGGTCGAGGTATTAAGGAGCAGGTTAGGGTTAAACCCTAAACACTTAACCCTAAACCCTAAACCCTAAACCTAAAATTCGTTAGGGGTTCAGGGACATTGACAATCTGATTCTTGGCTGAGAGACTTCGAATGCACCCTCAGATCCTGATACGTAGGTTCAGGATTCAGTGGTTTAGTGTTTAGGGTTTAGGGTTAGGCTTTAGAAGTTGACTAGGGTTGGTTGGCAATCACGCCCCTAGGTGCGACCAACACTCATGCTGCATGGTTCCCTGGACAAGCTTCCATGATTCAGAGCACGGCACAACCTGTCCATCCTTACCTCACTAGTGCTTCTTTAGGGTTTAGGGTTTCGGGTTTAGGGTTTATAGGGTTTAGGGTTTAGGGTTTAGGGTTTAGGGTTTCGGGTTTAGGGTTTATAGGGTTTAGGGTTCTAGTCTGCCAAGGGGTGGAGTGCAGGGATTCGTCTGCAAACCCGCATGTGAACCAGAACCGGCCCCGCAAGAACTAACCGATACAAGGGAGCCGTCTAATCAGAACGGGTATTTTTTGTGTAATTAAGTTCGCATCAGGGCGCGCAAGCAAACCCTAAGCCCTAAGCCCTAAACCCTAAACCCTACACCCTAAACCCTAAACCCTAAACCTTAACAAACCTTTGGGCTCCTGTAGTAGGACCCGACAACCCACAAGCTTCGACCCGACGTCCTTAGACCCCCATAGGTCACGCCAATCCCAACCACATTCTGGGTTTAGGATTTAGGGTTTAGGGCCTTAGGGTATGATTGCTCCGCTCGCCCACGTGGATGAGCATGATCGCCATCTTCACCACAGCGACAAACGCCCAGAACCACTTGTCCTGAGTGCTCTGCCTGACCCCTTGGCCAGCCCAATGCGGGCATGGCGGGCCGGAGCACAGGATGTCAACGGGGCGTTCAACATCTTTCAAGGCCCTCCGCGTCACGTCTCCAGCCCCCAAACCCCAAACCCCAAACCCCAAACCCCAAACCCCAAACCCCCCATGCGCTCCTGGAAATCGAGAACCAGGCGCATGAGCTTGAGGAAGTCCTGGAGCTTTATGCGGTGTGGCTGTGGGTTGGTTTTAGGGTTTTGAGGTTTTAAGGTTTAGGGTTTAGGGTTTCAAGATATTAGGGTGTCTAGGGTTTTAAGGTTTTAGGGTCTGTGGTTTAGGGTCTTCGGTCAAGGAAGGGCTCCCCGCCCTCCCCCGGTGTGGGTTGGCTATCTAGGGTTTAGGGTTTGGGGTTTGGCTTTAAGGTTGGGTTTGGGTTTTCGGGTTTACGGTTTCGGGCTTACGGTTAAGAGTCTCAGAGATTTTGGCTGTACACCATGGGGATACGCTTTTGGGGGGGGGGGGGGGGGGGGGGGGGGGGGGGGGGGGGGGGGGGGGGGGGGGGGGGGGGGGGGGGGGGGGGGGGGGGGGTGGAGGGGGGGGGGGGGGGGGGGGGGGGGGGGGGGGGGGGGGGGGGGGGGGGGGGGGGGGGGGGGGGGGGGGGGGGGGGGTGGGCGGGGGGGGTGGAGGGGGGCGGGTGAGATAGCACAGCGCACAGCCATGTGCCTTTTATGGCTCACATACCTTAAACTGGGGATCCCACTTGGGGACCAGTATGCGGAGTAGCATGTCCATCCCTAGACTCACTTTTGTGGGGCCTATAATGGATACTGTACAAGTTGGTCTAGGGTTTAGGGTTGAGGGTTGAGGGTCTAGCGCGCTCCTTCGGTGGCTGGTGCATGTCCCTGGGGACCAAATGAACCCTAAAATTGTGGTCATATACACTGTGCTACTACAATTGCTATAAAGGTCTATGAACCCTAAACCCTAGCCCTAAACCCTAAACCCGGAACCCTGAACCCTAAACCGGCCAACCCCAAGGATGGCACCACCTGCAATCACTGTGCTAGCTGAGCTCCCATTCTGAAAGCGTCTGGCACGTGGCGTCATCGAGGACCCCGCCAGCAACCCTAACAGCTGTAGGGTTTAGGGTTTAGGGCTCTAACCTCCATATACCCCTGTAAGCCCCTTTAAGCCCAACACTTCAACCCCTCAAGCGACCAAAGCTCCTTCGAGACCCCAGAAACCCCAAGTCCAAGAAAACCCACCTGAAAGCGACAAAAAAGAAACTAAAGGGTTTTGGGTTTTCAACTCGGAACCTAACCCTCAGCCCCCTCAACTAGCGTTTCTCTA